AACCTCCAAGTTAAACAAAAACTATAGATATGGCTGCACAGGGCAGGTGCTTGTACACATACACACACACAGAGACACACACACACACATGGGGGGGGCACAGCTACACAGCATGGACAAACACTAAAGCCAAACATTTTATCTGGAGAGACTCTTAGATGTCATTCAAACCTTTTACCTCCTGATTTTACTGCAGCCCAGAGAAGAGAAGGAATTAGCCCATGATCACATAGCCTATTTCATCCTTTCTTTCCTTCTACCTCCTGTTTCTTTCCTAGCGTCTCTAGAATAGAAGTCTAGATCAATGATCCAAACTCCTTCTCCTTAGCCTGGCCATGGACTTGTACACCTTTAATCCCAGCGTTTAAGAGGCAGAGACAGGTAGATCTCTATGAGTTCATGGCCAGCCTGTTCTATAGAGCAAGGTCCAAGATATGAGGACTACATTGAAAGATCCAGCCTCATTCCCCCCAAAACCCCCACTTTCTTGTGCACTGTAGGCATTTAGACCTTTACATTTCACTAAATAAATATTGCTTTAGCTATATCCCTAAATGTTGCTGTGTAAAGTGTTTTCCGATTTTTCTTGTGAGCCCAATGACTTGTGAGTAATTCAAAAGTATGTTGTTGAATTTCTAAATATTTACAGCGTTGTTGTATATCTTATTACTGACTCCTGATTTAGGTATGTTTTAGTCAGAAGGCATAACCCTCAAAGCTCCTGCTTAGAAACATATTTGGACTTACTTTACAACCCAGGGTATGGCTATCTTGGTAAATAATTCACAGGCACTTGAAAAGAATGCATATTCTGGGATTCTCAGGCAACGGGGTGTTTGTCCATCAATATCAACTAGGTCAACACAGTTGACATGCTGCTCAAATCTTCTTCAACCTTAACTATTTTTTTTAAATTTATTATTTGTTAATGTGCATGAGTGCATATGTGTGTGTGTGCGCGCGCGCAAGCGTGCACATATGTGTGTACATGTGCCACAGCATGCATGTGTGGAGGTCAGAAAACAACTTTCTAAGTTTGTTTACTTCCACTGGGAATCCTGGGGGTTTAACTGAGGTAGTCAGGCAGTTGATCTTGCTCAGCAAGCGCCTTTACCTGCTGAGCGAGCTCAACACCACCCTGGTGTCTGTGCTGGAGAGAAAACCCAGGACCCAGGACCTTCCGCACGTCAGACAAGAACTTTACCCCTGCTTAAAACCCCAGCTGGTTTTGGTATTTATTTATTTATTTATTTATTTATTTATTTATTTATTTAATCTTTTGAGACTTTATTTGAGAGGTCTCTTGTAGCTTTGGCAGTCCTCAAACTTGCTATGTAGCCTTGAACTCAGAGAGATAAGCATGCCTCTGCCTCTTGAGTGCTGAGAATAAAGTTTCATGCCACCAGGAGACCATGAGTTATTGTTGTTGTTGTTGTTGTTTTGACAGGGTTTCTCTGTGTAGCCCTGGCTGTCCTGGAACTCACTCTGTAGACCAGGCTAGCCTTGAACTAAGAAATCCACCTGCCTCTGCCTCCCAAGTGCTGGGATTAAAGGCAGGTGCAGCCACTGCACTGTGGGTTGTTATTTTTAATGTATATTTATTCTGCTCTTTGTTTTGTTTTGGGTTTGATTTTTTGAAACAGGGTTTCTCTGTGTAGTCCTGGCTGCCCTGGACTCTCTCTGTAGACAAGGCTAGCCCTGAATCCAGAGGTCTGCCTGTCTCTGCCTCCTAAGTGCTGGGATTAAATGTGTGTGCCACTGTGGCTGGCTTTGTTCTGCTCTTTATTGGGTTAGAAATGTTCAAACTCTCCAAGTCTCCACAAATACCACATTTTAGGCGGGGAATCCTGGTTTATGCCTGTGGTCCCAGCCTTGAGGAGACTAAGGCAGAAGGCTCACCACAAGTCTGAGGCCTAGCTGAGCTTCAGAGTGAATCTGAAGGGAGCTTGGAGCTACAGAGTGAGACTTTTGTCTTAAAACAAACACACACACACACACACACACACACACACACACACACACACACACGCGCTCAATTCTCACCTCCAAAAGAAAAGAAATCTCACCACATCTTATATGATTTCATTTCTACAGACTGTTCAGAATATGTAAACATGCAGAAGCAGATCTTTGCGAGACTTGGTTTGGTTCTGGGCATACGTATCACTTCCTTAACTCATCTCAGTGCATCCTTAGCCTATTTTAGTCCACTTACAGTTACTATTACACCAGTATAACACTTCCCACTTGACACATTCCGTTTTCTGCTTCACACCAGACGCTTCCAATTCAGTAATCTATTACTGCACGGCGCGCATAATTTCCTTTCCTGCCCTGCCTCCCTCATTTCTTGTTCTATTGCCAAACATCTTGGATGCGGCGTTACAGAGTCCAGTGTACTGGTTATTTAGTCAGTTGTCTTCTAAGGAAATTCCAGTAAGGGACAACACATTCTATGTCCCCCAATTTCTAAGCTTTGGTCTCACTAGGACCTTCTTCACCACTAACACACGGTATCACTGTAGGCTCGCATGGATGCCTGGGGAACTCAACTTTTGTCTACTTTGTCTAGGCTGGACCTCTAACATCTTCCAGATCTACTCGGTTTCCCAATCTTTGTTTTCCGTCTCCAGTCATACACCAGTTGTCCTCTGGTAAGCCCCGCATTGTCTAAACTTGCACATGCCAGGGAAGTCCTCAGGCAAAGGTCGACAGTGAACCCCCATACAGACTTACAGCACCCCCTTGAGCCTAGTTCAATTCCTGGTGACACTGCTCTGCTCACTCCAGATGCTTCAGCAGCTCTAAACGCTGGATTCTGCCACCTCAGTTCAGCTGGACTCTGGGCTCGGCCTTTGCTCTACTTCCCTGCACTGCACTCATGGAACTGTGTCCAAGCCAAGAACCGGACTGGTGGGCTCACCCTCCGAGCTCCCATTCTGTGAGGGCTGTATTTCCCTCGGTGACCCAGTACTCCAGTTGAGAGCCAGAGTGGGAGACAATATCCCCAAACATTTTCGAGTTGGAGAAAAGCTGTCCTGGTGTGCCTTATCTGAAAATTTGATCTATAGTATCTGTGAACTTAATAAAGTATTGCTTTATTTCACCAAATCTTAGAGGGTGAGTCTGTTTTGTTTTGTTTTAGTTTGGTTTCACTTGATACAGGACTTCTTGTATCCCAGGCTGGTCTCGAATTCACTATGTTGCCAAGGATGACCTTGAATTTCTGATCCTCCAGCTTAGACCTCCTAAATGCTGGGATTACAGGTGTGTGTCATGTGCCTGATTTTTATGAGACATAATTTGTCATAGACATAGTTACTGCAACAGTATAAGGAGCTGCAAGCCCTCTGCTAACTGTTGGTCAATGCCGGAAAAAAAAAAAAAGCATTGTCTCACAAGTTTTGTTTTGTGTTGTTGTTGGACAGCCAGACTCCTGGCCAGGAGCTCCAGAGCTGAAGCTCGGTGCTCTAAGATAACAACACAGAGAATTCTAACATCAACAGCATTGAGAACAACTTCTTCATACAGATTTCTTTCTATATACTGGGTACTGGGCTGAGTGTTTAAGATACACAACTATACATCAATCTTGAGAAACAGGCATTATGGGTGCCTACTGGTTAAGTGACTTATCCTGGTGTACATGCAGGTCTGGAAGCCCATGTAAGCAATAGACATATTAACCACGCACAGAAACACAGATAGACTCACACACACAGCTGTGTTCTTGCACAGATACACAGAGATGCACACTATACATTTCCAGAGCATGTATACCTTTAAAACATTTTTTTTATGCCCAGAGCTTAAAATCTCCTTTCCCCCAATTTATGTTAAACAGATCAAAAGGAACTCAATCTGCTAGATATTAAGTTTCCCAAGCATACCCCAAGATGAAATTCTCACCATCTGGGGCCACCACAGGCATGGGCAGCAGAGATACTGTCTCTGTTCCTCTGCCAGGGATTGCCTAAGGGGAGAAGGGGGTGGGACTCATAGCAAGACTTGGCTTTGTAGGCAGAAGCCTTCTCCTGGGACCTTACTACTCTTGATGCTGTAAGAGTAAATCCAGAGAGACAATCGAATCCTTCTATGTGAAAGGGGAGAGTTGCCTCCTCTATTGCAAAGGGAAGACCTGAATGAGTCGGAGAGGATTACCTGTTGAGACAAGATATTCCCAGCAGTGATGGGAACTAGTGAAAATGGAAGAAACAGGGCAGGGGGGCAAGTTCAGGCACAGAAGCTGGACTCAAATGTTGAAAGCTTATTCCCACCTCTTCTTACAATAGTGGAGACCTAGGCCCTACTCTTGAGAAAAGAAACGGATACTTCTTGGTGTGTGTGTATGTGTGTGTGTGTGCGCGCGCGTGCCCTCCCGTGAAATTGTTGCTAGTACAATCACAAAGTGGAAAACGTACCCCTTACACCAATCCTACTTCACCTCACAAAGGTCCATGCTACCCGCGCCAAGCAGAACTGAGGAAAATGAAATGAGAAATCTTTTGAGCTTTACCCCTGTCTCTTCTCCTTTTCTCACTTTTGGTCCAAAATTCTAGTTAAAGCTCCCTGATACTCGCCTCCGCAGACTGTCCTTGAGTGACAGATTAAACTATTTTTAAGCAGTTTAAAAGGCTTGCTTTCAGTAAGCAAGAAAGCACAAGCCAGGAGGCCACATTCACTCTGTTCAGTCAGCAGTACCCTGTGCACTGCGCTCAAGGTGTGGGGGCATTTGATGGGTGAGCAGCTAGTCACCCCAGCTTAGCGGTGAAGGTGGGGTTCTCTCTTGGCTCTAGCCTTCCTGTCCTGTCTGGTAGCTGTGTCCTGACCCTGCTAGTCAATGAGGGATTCCAGGCCTGTGTGGTCCCAACAGCTCTGGCTTAGGGAGTAACCCTGTCCCGTCTCTGTCTTTGTAAGCTGTCAGGGCAAAGGGACACAGCTGGTCGCTCAGAGGGGACCGCGGGTGACGTCCCCCTCTCCGCCAGGCACACCCCGTTTACCTCTGCCTCCTGGCGCAGCTCCGGGTGTCCGTGCTGGGTGGGCTGTGCGTCCTGGCAGCCCCATAGCAGTAGCGGCAGGGCGCGCAGCAGGAGGCTCACGCCAGCCACCATCGCAGTGAGCTGCTGGGCGGCGGTGGTCAGCTGTGCCCGACTCCCACGGATGCCAGCTCGTCGCGGCCCGAGTGAGGACCCACCAGGTCCCCAGACTCTCCAGTGCCTGGCTCCACCGCCGTCCGAGGTAGTCCCGCACCGGCGATGCCCGCCTGCGGGTCAGTCCGCCGGAGGACCGAGAGGGCGGAGAGGGGCGGGAGTGCCGGCCGCCGCCCCACCCACCAGCCCCGCTGCCAGCCCTAACCTCTTCCGCCGGCGGTGTAGCGGCTCCCGGCTCCTGCTGCAACTCTGGGCTTGGTCCTAGTTTGTCCAAAAGGGCGCGGGAAGATAGGACTCCTAGTCCTTCAATTATCTAAGATTTTGGTAAAGGGTGGGGTGGGGGTCCTGGCCTATTCCAGGCCTAGTTCAGTCAGGTGAGGGGCGAGGCACTTGACTGGGGTCAGGGACCTGGGGCTTGAGTTTGAGATGGGCTCCTTTGGAAATGCTCTGGGTCGCGCCCCAGACACCAGCAGGCTGTGCGGGCTTGTCACCTTTTCTGAACCTCTTATCATGGGGAAATGGGGATAATACATACACAGATCTTGGAGTTTGGGGGAAGACTCAACGAGAGCATGCCTGTACATTAGTAAGCATGCACGGTGCCTGGTATCAGTCAGAACACAAACGGCAGGGTGCAGTGGTGCCACCTGTGGAAAAGGATCATCTAATTTTAAGTGTCGCTTTCTTCATCAGTAAAAGGAGAGTATATGGCATTTAATTCCCTGAATAGCATGTAAATGAAGGGTATACATAGCCTATACAGTGTGTAAGAACGGAGTGGAAAGATTTTTTCTGACAGCCTTTGCTACACACATACTGAGCAAAGGCATCTATCTTTAAGAGTGAGCGCAGGTTGCTGTCTCAGTCCACTCATAAGTAAAATGCAAATGGACCCAGAACACTTGGACTTCATCTTTCTGGGATTAGAGGAGGGTTGTAAAAATAATCTGGACTCTATTAAATGTTAAACAACAACAAAAAGTAATGCAGTGTTGTAACCCCAAGGCTTAGGACCTCAACTGCCCTCAAAGTCTTGTGCTCTTAGAACTACTGGAGTAGAGGAATTGGAAAAAATTCTTTGCCTACATATCTCCATCTTATAAACAGGCATTCCCTGTGGCATTAACTGGAAACAGCACCCTCTTCCCCCATACCTTCCAACTAACCAAGGAAAAGGGGCACCCATCTCTGCGGAGATTGATTAGAGGAAAGCACTCCTGAAAGACCAATGAAAAAAAGCCCCCTTTCCTTGGGCAGACAGTCCCTGTGCCAGGAGGCAGCTGGGAGCAGAGTTGGAGATGGGTTTGCTTAATTATGCAGCGTGGGGGAGGGGTGGGGTATTGGGGTGGGGGCCACAGGGGGGGGGTGGCACCTCAGAAGTGAAGCCTGGAGCTTGAGCCTTGCCTCTGAGAGCTTTCAGTCAACCTAGATGACCTACAGTGTAATTCTCAGCTAGGAACAAAACAAACCATGGACACGCTTTGGTGGCCCATAGATGAGATTCTGAAGAAGAGTGGGAGGGGGTTGCTAGAGAGAGCAAGTAAGAGTACAGTCCTCAAGTAAACATCAACAGTTGTCCAATGTAGGTGGATGCCACGTGGTATGAGGGACAGGCAGACTAAAAGTGATCAGGCTAGACAAAGGTCAGCTGGGCAGCTTGTGATTTAACCGACAACTGTAGAGGATGTATACGAGTTATGGGTATGACAATGGCGTACGGGTAGCCTTGGCTAATGGGTGGATTCTAACAGGCTGGAAAACACTTACTTTGGCTCAGGGAGATTTGGGCAAGTGTCAGTAAGGGAGTCCTATCTGAAAGAAGATTCCAAGCTGAAGTCCAGTCTGGGCTTTCTAATTCTTTCTCAAGTTAGATTCTCTCCATCTTCTCTGGCACATCCCAGAGAGTCCATTTCGGCTGCACTAGTAAGAAACGGGGAGAAGGAGCTGTGGGTCTCTAGATAACCAAGTATCTGGAAAAACGCAGGTGTGGATCTCTATGAATTCCCCAGTTAGCCCCATCCAGTGGGGCAGTACCACTGCTGAGCTTAGGAGCTACCTTGTTCCACTTTACCTTGTCTCCTTGGTTATGCTATTAGGGGAAAAAACAAGTGAATGAATGAATGAATGAATGAATGAATGAACGAACGAACAAATAACAACAACCCCCCCCCAAACCCACACTTATCAGACACTAGAGTGATGGCTCAGTGGTTAAGAGCACTGGATGCTTTTGCAAAGAACAGTAGTTTAACTTCTAGCACCCAGCCTGGATGGCTCACAACTGCCTGTAACCAAAGCTCCAGAAGATCTGATCTGATGCACTCTTCTGATCTTTGAGGGCATCAGTATCTGTGTGTACACACTCACACCTGTACACACACAACTAAAAATTAAATATTTTAAAATAAAGATTTACTTTAAAAATTGTATGTGTATGAATGTATGTATGTATGTATGTATGTATGTATGTATGTATGTATGTATACCACATGTGTGCAGTGTCCTTGGAGGGCAGAAAAGAGCATCAGATCACCTAGAACTGGAGTTACAGTTGTCAGCTGTCACATAGGTGCTGGGAACCAAACCCAGTCCTCTGCAAGAGAAACGATTGGTTTTAACTGTGGAGCCATCTCTCCAGCCCCTAAAATATATCTTTAAGGGATGGGGGAAACCAGGTGTGGTGGCACATGCCTTTAATTCCAGCACTTGGAAGGCTGAAGCAAGCAGCCTCTGTGAGTTCAAGAACAGGCTGGTTACAGGTCAGCTGGGGCTACATAGAAAAAGACCCTGTAACACCCTATGAGAAAGCTACAATTCTCTGCATTTTCTTCTTTTTTTTAAAAGGATGAGGCACCTGAGGCTTTGAGATTCCATCATTTGCTCAACATCACAGTTCTAGTAATGCAGGCAGGATTCTAGAACAATGAACTATCATACATCAAGTGAAATGCATAAAATGTGGTTCTTAGGTCCTTCACAGAAGCACTTACTAAAAATTCTGATTCTTGGGCTGGGCTATATCTCAGAGGTTGACTGTTTTCCCAGCAAGCATAAAGCCCCAGGTCCAGTCTCCAGAACCCCTCTTCCCCCTTCCAGAAACCTTCTAATTCCTGAGCCTTACTGCAGACTTAACAGAACAACACTAAATACTAAATACCAGCGTCCAAGAGGAAATCAGCTCTGAGCTTTCCAATGGTCTTGTTTTCAGGCTTCCTTCCTAACCCATCTTGCTGAGTGGTTCCTGACTGACCCAGCAGTGCTGTCAGCATTCACCATGTGTCCTCTTCAAAGAGAACTGCTTCCCCTCCCTTCCTCCTGCAGAACTTGGGGTTTGGCTTAGCTCCTTAGAGCCTGCCAATCATCCCAGAGTGGACAGGACTCTGGAACTTGTGCCAGGCCTGGGCATGCTGTATGCCAAGGGGAGTGGCTGTCAGCAGACATTCCTTCTGTTCTGACAGAAGGTCACAGCAGGTCCCTGAATCAGGTAAGATGTATAAACTGGAACAGGGGACCTCTAGGCCTCAGTTTCTCTCTGTATAATAACAGGAACCATCAGCTTTGTCTTTGTCCTTTCCTCCTCCCGAGGAAGTATGCAGAACACAAAGTAGATTGTATCAGAAAAAATTCTGCACTCCCAAGAACGGCATTGACAGGAGGACCAGCCTCAAGGGAACCCAAGAAGAGGGAAAATCCAAGGAACAAGGACAGGAGAGGATATGGAGTGAGGTGGAGAGGCTTTCCCTGGGGCGGTGAGGGCTTCAGTGGAGATACCCAACTCCTCTCAGGCAGTAGCCTCCGAGCTTTTAGTGATGCGATTCCCCACTTTCTAGCAATCACCTCTGCCTATCACAGAGGGAAGTCACCCGCTCCAGCACAGTGGACATGGCCTTCTCAGCTTGGGCCACCTTCACAAGTGCACTTGCCTAGATTCTCTTGGTTCCCTGCCTCTGTCTCCATCTCTCTCTCTCTGATCTGGAAAAGCAGAACATTTGGAATGAGACAGACCTGGGTTAGAATGTTGGCTTTTTCAACTTGTGTGACCCACCCTGAGTGTCTGCTATGTCTCAGGTAGGACAAAGAGAATTCTTGTCTTTTTTTTCCATGCTCCTGATATTCGATGAGAAGTGAGCAAGATATTTAGTAACCTGAATCCTGTCAGGTCCTGACTATGAGTTGCACAGACACAAGTGTTCACCCATGTACTGTGCCCTTTCCATACCTGGGCGGGGTCATATTCCAGAGGACACACTACAGAACAATCACAATACTTACTGACTAAGGAGTGCTCAGCCCTGAGCAACCCCACTGCCTCATCCTCATCACCACAGCTTAACAAAACCATCAGCCTCTTCTTGGTTTGTTTTTTAATCACACCAGGACCCTGGGGACTTGCAAGGAACACAATAAAACCTGGGCCAATCTGGCACCCTGCGACTTCCACATAAAGGCTGTCTGCCCGCCAGGCATCTGGCCGGCAAGACTGGGCTGTGACTTGCTCAGCATCTGCTGCTTTGCTTAAGAGACCTGCTAACAGGAAAATGTCTGGTTCCTTTCCACCCCAAACAGGAAGCGCCTGCCAGGGTGGGAGGACTGGGTAAGCCTGGTCATTTATAAGGAATCTCTTGCTGCAGCTGGGAGGCCTGCTCTCTAGGAAGGCTAGAGGAACTGGGCCCCAGGAACATCTCCCTCGGAGAGGTGGAGTGCTGACAATGGCTACAAGCTGCCTGTGGTACTTGGCACAGAACAGCAGCCATGCTTTCAGCAAACACTCACGAGACACTCACTTGTGCCCCGTGGGAGACATGGGACAGTTCTAGATAAGCTCTTCAAGTTTGAGGAGTTGTACACAAGCCAGACAGGCAGGTCATTTCTGTGTGGTGGAATTCTTATTTATGTATTCATTACACACAGGTTTCCCCCCATCTTCCTTTATTTTATTTTATTTTATTTTATTTTATTTT